AGAGAGAGAGAGAGAGAGAGAGAGAGAGAGAGAGAGAGAGAAACAGGCCTGGCGACGAGCTTCTTATTTCCCACCGGAAGTCATATGCCCATACACGCGCGTAAAACGGTAAATAGTTATACATCTATACGTCTATACATACACATATAAGTGATATATCTACATATTTATTTATTTTACATAAACTATCTAAGACTTTACGACCTTGTGATATGAAGTTTAAATGCTTTTAAATGTAAATGCAAAAATGTTTTATAATTTGAAAATTATTGTTTTCTAGGTTTTCTTTTGCCATGACTTTTTACGAAATAATGAAATAAAAATCTTGATGTAAAGAAAATATAAGAAAATAAAATAAAAGAAAATAATTTTATATATTGCTACGTTATATCTATCATCATGTGTTATATATAAATAGGATTATATTAGTCGATTTTTATTATGTTGCTAAATACTTTAATGAAAAATCACGAATATTTTTAAGTCACGAGGAGTTTGTCAAAATAAAGTATGAACAGGCTGTTTACTATTAGGAAAACATGAAATTTTCACGATTTTCATGGAATTTTATGGAGGAATTTTTTAAATTTCACCTTTAAATTTAAATTCTGTCTGTTTTTGAAAATATTTTTTTTTTATCATTTTTCTTATATCGCAAAATGTTGGTAATCGGCAGTAATCCTTAATACACTCCTTTGAGTCATTCCTGTGCATTTTTTTTTCTTTGAAGTACTAAGAGCCTGGTCAAATATCGGTCTCTTTTCGATTCCTAAAAAACGTTGACATCTAGAGAACAAGTTTTGTACGTTGCCGATCTCATTTTGTACGTATCCTTTAACGGGCGTAATTCCGAAGTTCACCTCTGGGTCATAACCCAACATGTGTACGGAGTATATATTTTTTGTAATCAAAAATTTTTTATTTTTTTATTTATTTTCAATTCTCGATTGCGGAAATATTTCGCGAATTATTAAAAAAAAACGAATTTAATCTTAAAACAATATATTAGCCCTTAATAAACACGATTTTTTGCAACCTTGTGTTAAATGTTGTTATGTTGTCTGTAATGTTATAAAGAACATTTTCCTAATAAATTATAAGTTTTTTTAACACAATATCAATAATAAAATGCATTATTTAAAATAGAAATGCAATATATCTTCAATTTATAGCCAATCATGCATATTAAAGCAACATTTTTAATAATACATTTTTATACATAATTTATACGTAATATTTACATTTTTTGAACAGCCAACATTTGAACTATTTTTTTCCTGTAGTTTGGAATATTAATTTTAAGATATTGAATTATAGTTTTTCTTTAAATATTTTTGTTTCAGAGTTTTATATTTTTATATGAAACAGTGCATTTTTCTCATTTTGTTAATTATATTTAATTATAACAATTTATCTACAATTTGTTATGAATATACAACTGTACAAATACTTTTAAAGATGTCAATATATATATATAAATCATTTAATGTACTTGTAAAAGTGATGAAAATTAATTCCAGGACACGAATGATCCAACGTGTGTAGTAAGGTGCTCAAAACTAAGATGTATATTAATAGGGATAAGTGTACAACATATGTACATATCTATGTATATTCTCGTGTGTGCTTTGTGAGTTTTTATATTTTAAAAATACCAGAATAACAATAGAAGAGGATACTCGGCAGAATAAGGTAGTTCACAGATATTATTTTGTAGTAAACCTCCCTCTCTCTCCTCCCCCTTCATTATCCTGTAAGTTTCGTAGCTCCACAATTGCAGAAAATAAATACAGTCTCGTAGAATCCTTGTTTCTTTTATCAATTTTCAATATGTAGTTTATTTGCATTACTTGCACTAATTTATTTTAAAGTTGCTTTAAAAAAATTCTCTAATCTTATCTGACATTTTGAACAAAAATACTTAGAAAAAAATCCGAGAATTGTCAGGAAATTTTCTTACAAGATTTCAGTATTCATTTTGATGAAATATGTAAATTATTGATCCTTTGACAATCTTACTTAATTCTTTTCTATGCAGAATGGCTGTATAAATCAATATATAAAAGAAATTAATGATTTCATTAAAAAAATTGTGAGATAACCTTGATCGGATAATATTTTTTACACGAAATTTTACATAAATAGCTATTACTTTTTCCCTTTGCAACTAATTATATAATATTCAGAATTTTTTTTAATTTATAATTTCAGTGCGAAATTCAAATATATCGAGTAAAAATTGCCTCTGTTTTCAAGTTAAAATATTAGAAATTCATATCTAACAAAGGCACATAATCTCGAAATGTTAAATTTTAATTTAATTTCGTATACATGTAGGTTATAAAATAGGTTCATAAATAGATGAATTTCAAAAAATATTAATTATGGCTGAGATTATCCTTTATATCTAAAGCAGTTTTCAGTTTTTTTACATTTCAAAAACTATTCAAGATATTAAAAAATATTTTATATGAAAGTTTTAATAATAAATACATAAATACATAAATAAAGGTATACTTTATTTATGTATTTATGTATTTATTTATGTACGTATTTTTAAAATGTATCGACGATACATTTTAAAAATAATTTGAAAATGTGAATTTTTGAAAAAATTATTTATAAAAATATTATTTTTATAGAGATAATTAGAACTTTTACATAATACATTTTTTTATATTAATTGATAAATTTTTGAAATATATAGGATGTTTGGAAATTAGTGATAAGTCTTTTGCACAGGGACAGAATGGATCAAACTGAGAAGAAAATCCTCTACCATTTTGCAATTTTCGCAATAGTTTACAAGAAATTAATTGCTAAAAATTGCTAAAAATTAGTCTTCAATAATTTTTGACTCAAATACTATTAACTTTATAGAAAAAAATGCAAGAGATGAAAATTATTTTTTTCTCATAGAACTCTAAGAATTTTTTCAGAATTTTCTTATGTTAGTAAAAATGAAAAAATACAATGCTAAAAAGTTGATAAAAAATTCTGGAAAAATTCATAGAATTCTATGAGAAGAAAATAAACAATTTTTGTCTCTTGCAGTTTTTCTATAAAGTTGATAATATTTGAATAAAAAATTAAAGACCAATTTTCGGCAATTTTTAACAATTAATATCTTGTTAACTATTGCGAAAATTGCAAAGAGGACTTTTCTTCTCAGTTTAGTTCATTTTGCTCCTATGCGAAAGACTTATCACTAATTTGAATACCCTGTATAAATAAAAAAAGATTGTAAACTGCTTTATATTTAAAATTTCTCCTCTCCATTCATTGACCACAAAAAAATATTATTTTGTATAAAACAACAAAAAAATATAATTTAAATCGGACTTTTAAACTTTAAAATAATAAATAACAATAAAATTAAGATTAACGAGAGCGGGAATAGATGCGCATAGGTATTAATTCTTGTAAAATACTTCAATTTGATAGATGATGTGCAACTTTATTCCGAAATTTTGAACGTTTCCACGTTTATGAAATTGGATAAAATCGACGATGAAGGTAGGGATCAATTCGGTGGAATCATTCGTGAATCATGACCAGATTTCACACGGATGACACTTATTGCAAAGGCGAGAAAAGGGAAAGAGAGCAAATGGTGGAAAAGTGTAGATTATTCACGTGGCTATAAATACGCCACCGAGTAGACGGAGAGATTGTACCGGATGGCGTAATTGAATTAGAGTAGATATGAGTACGTAAAACCGGTCGGCATTCGCGGCTCTTCATTTGCTGTTGCGTTCGTTGATAGCAATGACGATGGTGCCGAACGCTTGCCAACAAGAACAATAGTGGTGTAGTGAAAAACACGCTGCAAAAATTCAGAATGAAATCACATATTAAAACATATGAATGTATTATGTTATAATTTTCCAAATTCTTATACATGATAATACAATATAATTTATCGTTATCATATTTTATTATTATTTAATTGCAGGTTTAAAAAATTTATATTTAATTTTTTATAATATTTAATAATATTTAATCTTTTCGCGATACAAATACATTGATTTTGTTACTAAAAAAGTAACTTGTTAAATATCATAACAAAATAAAATTTAGAATTTACATTTTCTATAAATATTTTTACAAGAATATTATTTTGTTAAACTTGTTATAATCTATAATACATAAAGTTTTTAGCATTGATCTGTGTATATCTGTGTATATCTTTTTCTTATAGAAGTTCTTTCTCTCTGTAAAGTTCACATAAACAATGATAGGAAGGTATAGAAAATATAAAAAAATCGTTTAATGTTTAAATGTTATATTTTTGTAATTTTTATTATTATTTTCAAAATTAGTATTGTTGAACCTGACTAAAATATGCTTTAAAAATGATACACGATAAATAATAAATTTACATAAACATGAAGTTTGAAAATACTTTCTTTCTGCATCGTAGTGCTGTTGAGACTATATTGACTGCTATGAAAATCGAATATGGCACACGCTATAGTAACACAGAAATGTTTGTTTAAATATTTTTGTAAAATTTCTAAATGTTTCCTAAATTGTTGTATGCATTTCTCATATAGCTATCTTTTAAATAAAGACTTTTCTTCGTTTAGTTAAAATATTTTATACTTACTCTTGTAGACGCACAAAATGTTATTGAATCATCTTAGTTTTTTATTCTTTGAAAGCAAAAGCAAATAAGAAGTGATATGATTAACATAGAATACAAACTATGTTTAAAACTATTATATATTTCAAATTAAGCACCTAATTAAATAATAAAAGCGTTGCTACTGATGAGAGTATTAATATGACCCTATTATGAAATATCTGCTTATATCATAAGATAAAAATTTGCATGAATATTAAAACAATTCAGATATATTTTTCTTTGAAGAATAAAATTCATCTGTGTAAGATGTAGATACATCATACAGCAGCATGTATACGGTACTGTCAAGTCCTTTGAAAAAACCAATAACCTCAGCGTGCGTCGGATACTAGTAGTTTATGGCCACTGACTGAATGCGCGTGTGCGAGAACAAGAGAAAAAGAAGAACAGAGAAAAAGAGCGTTAGATTGGGGATGTAACTGAAAATGCGAATGAAAGAGATGGGAGGAAAAAAAAGGAA